ACCACGCTTGGCAAGCGGGTTGGCAACCGCAGTTTTTATTCATTTGAGTTGGTATCACAAAGATGCTGCTGCCCATCTCCTGTTTTCGTTTCCCCTTTGTCGCCTCTTATGCCATCCTCGGGACGATACGCGGGATGTCATTTGTTACTGGTATTAATATGTTTAGCCCACCGCTGGAAATGGTATTTTCAAGCGCCGGAATGTATCTGTTTCCTGAAAGAGAGAGTTTTGAAGTTTGCACGTTAAGTTGAAGTGGAGACAAATTGGTTATGTTCCATTAAAAAAGACAAAAAAGCCTAAACCATTAAAAAGTTGTGAACCGTTGCAAAATATGGATAATTTACCTATTAAATGTTATGTGGTATTGAGCACAATTAAAGCCGATTGAAAGCTTTGCTTACATCCAGTACCAACATATTGATTGTACCACGCGTTAACGGAGCGAAGTGACCTGGTTCTCAGCTGGTTTTGAATCTACTTTAAATTTTAATACGCTATTTTCCAGTATAAAGTTTTTATACGTGGTAGAGCCATGCTGCAGTTATATTAGTAGTATAGTTGTAGCGCGAATGGGTCGGCTCGACCGGGGAAGAACCACGCTCTCACAGAATACCAGCGTGAAATAGTAGCTTAATGCTGCAGTATTTCGTATGGTGAGTGTAGAGAACCGGAGACCCTTTTTACTGGAAATGAGGAATTCCATCTTAGTCCTCACGGGTGACAACGCATCTGCATTTTGATTTGTAATCGAGGATGGATGTGGATGTCTATGGGCCACAGCAACCACTTACCATCAGGTGGACTGTGTGCTCGTTTGTCACCCTATCCTATATAAAAAAAATAAAGTTATAACAGTTTTAATGAATTTCGTATGGAAGAAGTTTATTCACAGTTTAAAATAATGATGATTTAAATTTGACGCAAATAAAGAATAACTGTTCTTAAAATTATTTATTATAAAATAATTATTACAAAGTAATTGTTTAACGTTATAACCTATTCAATGCTAGAATAAAGATGTTTTTTTTATTTAAATACAGTAGTATGTGTTAATATACCAGATGTTACATTGGATTGCGCTGATTCTGTGGGAATGCCATAATCACGGAATTACATCGTGACTGTAGACCCAGTCCTTTACCTAAGGTTGCTTGCTATGGATCTTTGTGATATGTATTAGTGCAGTCACTCTATAGTGACGGCTTGCAACTTATGGCCCTCTTTTCAGAAGTGCTTATAGCAAGTCCTTTGCTATAAACGCATTAATTGTTTAGGATTGACGATCGCGATTGTAAACCTCTCGTAATTTAGCACTGATTGTCCCAACTGGTACGTTTTTTTTATCTTTTATATATTATAAGATCGTTATATCTTTTCTAATGGAAGCCATAAGATTTTGGCAATCTGTAGTTGCTTTTTACTATACTCACGCGATGTTATCAGGTGCTGGATTTTCTTACGGTCTCACCAGACTGATAATTACCACTAATAAGTTGTTGTTCTTGGTAAAATTGAGATCAAGTATTAGTTTATTGGTCTTTGAAGCAACTATTATAGTTTATAAGACCAATTTACTTATTTTTTTATTCTCCATTGCATTTCCTATTACACAAAAAGCAATGTGCAAATTTAATGCCATGAGGCATTCTACCGGTGACCCCACAGAGTCGTGAAAATACAACGAAGGTATAATGATATTTCAAAACAAAACAGATAATTATATTTATATTATTTAAATTAATTAATACATTAAACCTTTTAATCTTAGACCAAAAAAAGACGAAACGCTGCGTTCATTCTATGTGACGTTAAATCCACGCTAAGACTTATTCAACTTATTGAAACAACGCACTGCATACACACATATATTATTCATCTAAGATTATTTGCAACCAAAAACATATTTTAGGTGCATATGTGTGTGTCCAGCATTAAACATTTACGGGTTGTTAAACAAGGAGGGAAGATAGATGTATGCGTAAGTGCGTGTCAAAAATTTGAGCATAGTGTCGGCATCACTTAAAATGTACACAGAGCTTTGTCTATCTTATTTTGTTGGTATTCAATTTAAATATAAAATACCAGGGTAAGGATCTAATACGTGGCTTCATGTTCAATTTATTTACAAATTCTATATGTTTGAACCAAAACCTTGAGACATAATCACAACTTTATTGATAAAAAGTTGCGGTGTGAACGTATTATTATCAAGTCTCTATTTGACAGGCAGACAACGTTTTGTGACAGACAGAGAGACACACTGATATGCAATGATACCTTCATTGCATTTATTCTGAATATTGGTAGTAAAGACTAATGTTGCTCTGCTAAAGGTATAGCAAGGTTAGATAGGCGCGGGAAAAGCTAGATGTTAATTCAAACTTTGATATCAAAGACAAAAAGAAAAAAGATTGAACTCGGTGATGAATTCATAATGAGCAACGCATAGCTTAAACTATTCAATAAAATAGTCTGGCTCGAACTTTCTCGAAGTCTATTCTGTATGATTTCATGAGGCGGCGACCATGGTGAATTCTGATTAAAGTTGCGCCCTGCAAGATTTGCGGTAGTGCCGTGAACGCGAGTTTCTAACTTGCAATTTGCAGATTGTCCACAGTAGAGAAACGTTGATTTACAAACTAACAATACGCTGAAGCGTCACGTATAGCTAAAGTTCGATTTGCAGCTACTGCGACAGGCTTTAGTTTTCTTACTATTGGAAACAAAATTCATTCACATCCATATAGTTATAACTCCGAATTAAAAATGACATAAAATGATGCCTTAAACCGTCTCACCTATTCGATAAAAGTGCACTATGGCAAAAATTTACTTTTAATAAAGAGTAAAAGTCGAATAACATGAATAAAATAATTCCACATTCTGAAGGCGGAGTTTTAATTTTTCTTTACGCTTTGTCTTAAGGCCGACTACAAACTACTAAAAAGAATAAAATAATTTTACATTTTGAAGTCGGTGCTAAAGCATGATTTATAGAAAATTTAAAAAAAATATCTTACCTTACAGCATGTAATTATACTGGTTTTCTATAATCTTCAAACCGGAAAATGTAGTGTTAATTATTAATTAATTGTTAATTACTTCTATACTATTATTACCCAGATGAAATTCTACGCAGAAAGTCAGTCCAACCACAAAACTCTTTGGCGCTAAAACCTCTTAAGTAATAAAAGGGCCCTATACCCATAAGTGCCAAAAACTTACTATATTACGTCTACTGCCATTTCCTTGGAAACTAGAGTAAAATCAAGTGCGTTTATATTTTTACGGCTTCAATTTTAATAAATAAGAGAAACTTGAGCGTTTATAAAAAAAGGACTTATTTATAGTGAGGGTGAATTTATACTATGTAGTGAGATGGATTTTGTTAATCCATCTCACTACATAGTATAAATGTATTTTATATGTGTATTTTATTTATTTAGAATCATCATAGCATAGATTTAGCGTGTACTCGTAGTGGCGGTGTAATAATGTCCTCTACCCCATATCGTCCCGTGGAAGTATATAGAGGCGACGAGTGATCATAAATTTTAAAAATAGATTTAATTTTTATATGTACCGTATACAGTTTAATGCATTTAGTAAAAAGCTGTTATTCTGACATTACAAACAAATACTTCAGTTTTATTGTATCGCTGCTTTGCACGAATAACCGCACAAACCAAAATATTCAAAATACTGGTTTATAACACAGTCACTTGCAAAATAGTCCGTATTTTATGGTCAGTAAGACTCACATTCATAACGGCAAAACTGACGTAGTGGCGCGTAAAAATGTCGTTATGTGATTGGTTGATTTATCACGCCATATTTGTGCAACAGTCGACGATCGCCAGTTGCTATTATTGTTTTCACGTGTCCACATCAAAACTTTCGGGAATAATAACACATTACCAAATAATCGTGTGTTTAAATTGTAAAGTTTAGTAATATTTTCTGCAATATTCATTCATTTTGAGTTGATTGATTATTTAAGTTAAAATTGTTACTGTTTTCGATCATTTTTTTTGTTAAAAAGTGCTGCATTTAGTGCTACAACATTCTTCACGAAAAAGTAAGTAAGACAATAATACTTATTAAGTTTTATTTGTTTCTTCAAGATAGAAACAACAAAATCTTTTAACATGTTTATAAAATAGGTTATTATTGCTTAAAAATAAAGCTAAACAATTTAGAACCGAAAGCAAGTTAAGTTACTTTTAACGATATAATGTAATTATAACGTGTTTTGGTATTTTTTGCTGCCTCTTGCGTGGCTTATTTAACTGCGATGTCCCGGGTTCGAATCCTGGTTCAAGCAGTAAACGGAGTAATCGTCATTTCTTATTTAAAACATTCTTAATTTAGCAACTCGGCGTTAGAAATTATGCCAATGAACAGCAGAAAAAACATAGCCGGCTTCGGGTATTACAGGCATGATGCTATGTTGTGTTGAGTTGTAGTATGATAGGACTGAACGGTGTGGTGTGGCATGGCATGGTGTGGTATGGAGTGGTGTGGTGTGGTGTGTTGTATTGTGATGTTGTTCTGGCATGACATGCCATGGCATAGTATGGCGTGGTTCATTATTTTATGAAATGTTCTTATTATTTACAGTGCCGAATCCCCGTACCCTACAAATAATCCGGAATCTCAAACAAGATAGTAAATCTGTTATACAGAATGAAATACCTACGACTTCAACTTCCATACAATTCACTGAAAAGGAACAGTTCATTTTATCTCCCAAGCCTAACGATAATATTTAAAATAAAGATTTATCTAATGTTAGTGAAGACTTTTGCTCAGATGATAGTGTGAAGGATCCTGACTATGTAGATATCGATACACCCTGTTTTACAAAGAGGTCTCTTTTGAAAAATAAAAACCGAGAAGTTTTTAAAAATTTGTTGAGTGGAGTAGATTTAAATGAAAAACAATATGACAATTTCAGTAACGATGTTTCCACCATAAACCAAACAAGTTCACCTATACCTATGCCGATAGCCCCCTTACAAACAGAATCTAGTAGCAGCTCAAGCGATGGATATAGTTCCTCAAATTCCGAGAGTTCATCAGACGATGAATTGAATAATGAACGTTTAACAGCAGTGGTTCAGTCTAGGGTAGACAATAACATATTTCCTACAAGAGCTACCTGCATCGAAGAAAATATTTCTCGCAATGATTCGATTGAGCCAGTAGTTTCAACTTCACGTTCTACACCTCCAACTTCTTTAGAACTTACTGTTGATACCAATTCTACACATCTTGGTTGTAACGATAATATCAACTCAAATAAAGGACGGAAAAGAAAATCTACACCCAATAACTGGTTGCGTAACAAGGCAAAAATCCTAAGAAACTCTGGTAAGTCCTATATATCCAATTCTAAAAAGGGAAAAACCGTTGCGCCTGCAAAGTCTCTCAAAACACCGTGTACTGATAAATACAAACAAAAATGTACACAAAACATTACAGAATCACAGCGCAAAGAAATTTTTGAAAGCTTTTGGGGCATGGGAGATCTGCAAAGGCAACGGGAGTTTATTTTACGCTATCTTTCCGTCATTCAACCACGATACTCATACAAGATGCATAACAGTAACCGAGGGAAAAACAACGCTTTTTATTTGACCATTGATAATGAGAGAATTCGAGTGTGTAAAGTATTTTTTAAATCTACGCTAGATATAACTGATGCCTTTATCCGAACTATTATTCAAAAGAAGCAGAATTCATGTGGCATGTTAGATTTGGATAATCGTGGCAAACACAGTCAACATTTCCATTTAGATCCGGCTATTAAAGAAAGTGTAATTCAACACATCAACTCAATTCCAAAAAATTGAAAGTCACTACTGTCGTGCAGACACAAAAAGACTTTATATTGATGGTGGGAAAACTGTAGCAGACTTACATAGGGATTACGAACTCGACAGTCAGTCAAAAAGTATACCAAGCGCCAATTACCTTATGTATTACAGGATCTTCAACAACGAGTTCAACATTAACTTTTTCCAATCAAAAAAAGATCAGTGTGAGGATTGTACATCATACAGTAATGCCACAGAAAACGATAAGGTAGAACTGAAAGAAAAGTTTGATAGGCATTTAAAAGAGAAGGATTTGTCAAGGCAAAATAAAGAAGATGACAAAAAATTTACTCCTGATAATTGTATTGTAACAGTTTATGATCTTCAGGCTGCAATGCCTTGTCTTAGAGGAGATGCATCAAACTTTTATTACGTATCAAAATTAAATACGTATAATTTCACAATATGCGATATCAAATCTAAAGACACTGCATGTTATGTCTGGTATGAAGCTGAAGCTAAACGCGGTGCTATAGAAATAGGATCTTGTTTGCTTAAATACATACAGAATTTAAAGTTTAAAGCTGAAGAACTAGACTCAAAATTAGATATAGTTTTTTATTCCGACAATTGCTGTGGCCAGCAAAAGAACCAGTACATAATAGCTCTTTATGTATATGCAGTTTACCATCTCGATTTTATTAATTCAATAACCCACAAATACTTAATAAAAGGGCACACTCAAAATGAGGGTGATAATGTCCACTCCCTTATTGAAAGAGGAGTAGGTAAAGCTCTAAGGTCTGGACATATATATACACCTGACCAGTATGTGCACATTATAAGAAATGCTAAAAAATCTGGTAAAGCCTATCAAGTAAATGAATTAATACACGAAGATTTTTTTGATATAAAAGCGTTCGCTTCATCGATAGGCAAAAATTTTTCTAAGAATATGAACAAAGAAACGTTAAAGCTAGGAGACGTCAAAATTTTAAAGGTGGAATCTAATGACTCTAATTACTGTTTTTCCTATAAAACATCGTACGAGGACACAGAGTTTAAGTCATGATAGATAAAATTGGTAAGACCAGAAACACTACCAATAATATCACTGTTAAAAAGGCATCATCATTCATCATCATTACAGCCCTTCACAAGTCCACTGCTGAACATAGGCCTCCCCCAAGTAATGCCACAAAGCACGGTCCTGAGCCACCTGCATCCATCGACTTCCTGCATGTCTTACCAGGTCGTCACTCCATCTAGTGGGGGTCGCCCTACACTACGCCTACCGGTACGAGGCTGCCACTCGAGAACCTTTCTTCCCCATCGGTTATCGGTTCTTCGAGCTATATGGCCGGCCCATTGCCACTTCAGCTTACTAATCCGTTGGGCTATGTCGGTCACTCTGGTTTTACTGCGGATATCCTCATTTCTGAGTCTATCACGCAGAGAAACTCCGAGCATAGCCCTCTCCATAGCTCGCTGAGCGACCTTAAGCGTCCTCATACGGCCAGCAGTGAAGGACCACGTCTCAGATCCGTAAGTCATCACTGGCAACACGCACTGGTTGTACAATCTAGTTTTTAGAGATTGAGGTATACCTGACGAAAAGATATGCCGTAATTTCCCGAACGCTGCCCAGCCGAGTTGAATCCGTCGATTGACCTCTCGGTCGAAGTTGGACTTACCTAGTCGGACTATTTGTCCCAGGTAAACGTATTCGTCAACAACTTCGAGCATAGTGCTCCCAATAACTACCGGCATAGGTGTGACATGGACATTGAACATGATCTTTGTTTTGTCCATGTTCATCTTAAGACCTATCCGTTGGGAGGCACTATTGAGGTCATTGAGCATAGTGCTTAAGTCCTCCAGCGATTCTGCCATAAGGACTATATCGTCGGCAAATCGAAGGTGAGTGATGTACTCGCCATTGATGTCAATACCGTATCCTTTCCAGTCCAGTAGCTTGAAAACGTCTTCCAATGCAGCGGTGAAGAGTTTCGGGGATATAACGTCACCCTGTCTTACACCTCTCTGCAGTTGGATAGGTTTCGAGCTCTGGTTCTGTACTCGGATAGCCATCGTAGCCCTACTGTACAAACACTTCAGCACTTCGATATACCGACAGTCAACTTGGCACCGCTGAAGGGACTGTAGCACCGCCCAAATTTCGACGGAATCAAAGGCTTTCTCATAGTCCACATACGCCAGGCAAAGTGGCAGATTGTACTCTTCAGTCTTCTGTACAATCTGCCGCAGGGTATGTATGTGGTCTATGGTACTGAAGCCTTTTCGGAAACCGGCTTGTTCGGGAGGCTGGAAGTCGTCAAGTCTGCGTGCGAGACGATTCGTAATGACTCTCGAAAACAGCACGTAGACGCGGCTCAGAAGGGAAATCGGTCTGTAGTTCTTTAAGAGAGCGTTGTCGCCTTTCTTAAAGAACAAGACCACCGCACTTCTGCTCCACGCCTCTGGAGTAGTGCCACCATGGAGGACGGAATTGAAGAGCTTCTGAAGGACTTCAAGTACCGGTGTTCCACCCGCTTTCAGAAGCTCCGCTGTAATTCCATCCTCGCCTGGGGCCCTGCCGTTTTTAAGGTGCTGGAGAGCCATTCTAATCTCGCTTAGACTGACGTCCGGGATATCATCGGAATAGTGTCGGATAAGACTTGCTCTTGGATCGTTACTCACACTTGCGTGTGGCTCCAACGATGATGTGTACAGCTGCCCATAGAACCTCTCAATCTCACTCAAAATCTCAGGTGTCCCGGAAACGATGTTGCCACACTCAGTCTTCAGCCTTGACAGTTGGCTCTTTCTGGCAGACAGATCTCTGGCAAAGACTTTGGAGCCCTGGTTCCGCTCGATCGCTTCTTTAATACGAGAAGTATTAAAGTTGCGTAAGTCTCGCCGTATGCATTTGGAGATCTGTCTGTTCAGTTGCCTGTATGCTGTCAAATCTGTTGACGATTGCAGCCTCATCTCCCGTCTAACAGCCATGAGATTAAGAGTGTGATCGGAGAGTTTTTGTGTTCTTCTGCGGCGGGTCTTGCAGAACTTAGCTCCGACCGCATGGACAGTTTCCACGAGCTTGTCGTTCATATCGTCCACTGCATTGCAATCTTCTAGGCACTGGAAGCGTTTACGTAACTCGAGCTGAAAGGTTTCGGGATTCTGGATTAGAGCACGAGGGGGACGGAGCGTTGACTTCATTAGACGAGACCTCTCCAACTTAACGTTTAGGTTCAGTGTGCCTCTAACCATTCGGTGATCGCTGCCAGTTTTCACCCTTGCGATCACTGAGACATCACTGAACAGTTGGCGTCTGGTCGTCATAATGAAGTCAATCTCATTTTTTGTCGAACCGTCGGGGCTCGACCAGGTCCACTTCCTGTGGGGCCGCTTCTGGAAGAAAGAGTTCATCATAAAGAGTCCCTCTTTCTCCATAAAGTCGGCCAGCTGCTGGCCCCTTCGGTTCCGTTGCCCTACTCCAAATTTCCCTACCTTCAGCTCACCGCTTTCTCTTGTGCCCAGTTTTGCGTTGAAGTCTCCCATCAACACCGTGTAGTAGGTTTTGGAGGAATGTATGGCTCTGGAAATATCCTCATACATTTCCTCCACCTCCTCATCGGGATGTGCCGAGGTTGGTGCGTAAACCTGAATGACCTTCAGCGAATACCGTTTGGTGATTCTGAGTATCAGGTACGCGACCCTCGTCGACACACTCCCAATCTTTACAACGTTGTTGACGAGAGATTTGTGGACGATAAATCCGACACCTCCTTGGGACAGATGGTCGCCCTCCCGGTGATAGAACAAGTTGCCGGACTCGAGGATTGCCGTGTCCTCCCCCTCTCTTCGGACCTCGGATAATCCAATAATATGCCAGCGCAACTTGTCTACCTCTTCTTCCAGCTCCAGTATCTTCTCGTCAGTCCTCAGGGTGCGTGCGTTATATGTTGCCAGGTCGAGTCGTCGTAGGTGGCAACCGAACCTCCACCGGAGATTCTTAGTACCCCCTGCCCCGCCGTTACCATGGTCGTAAAAAACCTGGTGGTGCCGTGTAGTGGCGGTTAAGAATATCCACTACCCCATATCTTCCCGTGGGTGTCGTAAGAGGCGACAGAGGGAGACAGGCAGGAGATGGGCAGCAGCGTCTTCCTGATGACAACTGTGACGTAATAAAAAACTGCGGTTGCCAACCCGCTCGCCAAGCGTGGCAACTATGGCAAATACCCCCCAATGAATAAATACACAAACAGACGGCCCCCAGTCCCCGGCGGCCCCGCTATTCCTGGCTAAAAAAGGCATAAAGAGAAAAAATCCCAATATGTGAGAAGAAGAAGAAGGGTTTGCTAGACCTTATTAGGAAAAATATTGTACCAAGATTTTATAAACCGTTTTTTGAGAATCTCTAATGTTTATTATTAAGTGTACCTGAAGAAGGCTGATTATGCGGTAGTTGTCCAATGTTTGATAGATTTTTTTGTTTATTGTTTTTAATTAACCGAATTATTTTTAAAATAAGCACAAGTTTGTTATTTTTTTTATGTTTAAGCATGGTTCATCATGTTCCTAATTATTTTTAGTTTGTTGATTTTTTTATGTTTATGGTTCATAATATTCCTAAATATTTTTAAAAAGCAAAACTGTTAGAATTTTATTTATGTTCGTGGTTCATAATGTTATTTTTCCTAATTACTTTTAAGAAGCGTAGTAGATAGGTATTGTTGGTTCGATTTCTTTTATTTTTGTGATTCCTAATATTTTAATGTTAACGTGATCATTTTAATCTGCGTACTGGTAGCTTGATGACAGTAATAGACATACTGCAAATTGTTATAAAATGTGGACTATAATAGTAATAAATAATAAATAAATAATAATAAAAATACTTTTCTACAGGATTGTTTAATCTCTAAATATGATAAACAGAAATGTGTTACTCTACAGAAAAAATCGTTCCGAAGGCTTCAGCATAAAACAAATAAATTGATTTGTGTTTGAACACACTTTTCATTAATATT